CATCAAGCTGGTTTACTCCATCTACAATTTGAAAGACCGAGAAAAAATCCTACCATCGGAGTTCACGCTCATAGATCTTGTTGACAACATTTCATTGTGATTGGCACGATCCTTCAACATGATTTACCCCAAAACTTCAAAGTTGTGACGAGACTTGAAAGTTATAATCTTATACTCTATCAGGCGCCAACTTGTTGAACATCTTCTCACGGACTGAAACCTAAACTATTTTCTGCAGTTATATTTTAGATTAGAACCTGTAAGATAAAGGAAGAAAGTTCCATGCCTTTCAAATTGACATCATAAATGAATCATATCATAGACTATAAAGGCTCTAAAGTGTTCACCTTTTCAGTATAAACATCAACAGATGCCAAAATAGCTTTTAAAAAAAGATGGATGAAGATATCAAACAAACCAATCCTCAAAAGCTCTCACCTTTGACAGGAACAAACACAACCCCACTCCCCGCGCTAAAATTCACCCCATCATTAGCCGCTCTTTCGCCCTGCAACCCAAACCCGCCGCCACTGACTCCAGGCTCTCCCCTCCCTTAACGGTACGTCTCAAACAAGCCGTAATCCACCGACACCTCCGGATCCCCACACGAGCAATTCACCGTGACATTAATGGTAGCCTGATCAGGTATCCGCGTAGGCGGGTAGCTATTCCCTTGCGCCACCCACTGCGCAGTCGTCAAATTCGCATAAGTTCGACCTGCTATCTTACCGTAGGTATCGGCCGTAACTGTGACGTAGGAGAATATCCGGCCAAGGAATCCGGCATTGATGCAGTCGCAGGGGAAGCTCAGGTTGACCCGCTGACCGACCGCAATGAACTGCTCGTTGGGGATGTTCGGGTTGTACGGTAGCAAATCTTGGTACCCGAGCCCAAATAGGGATCCGATATAGGTCAGGTTCAGGTCGGGCGACACGTAGTAGGACCCGAGAGCCAGACTGCAACCGCTCCTGCAGGCGGATTGGGATCGGATTGGTAACTGGATGAGGGTAAGGAAGATGACGATGGATCCGCACCCGGACCCGAATCGGATCATTTTGGGTTGAATCCGGAGGTTAGTCGGCTGAATGGGGGATTAATGGAGCTGGGGGAGGTGGGGTGAAGGCGGTTGACTTAAATTGGAGGGATTATTTAAATTGGGCCAATGAAGAAGGGACACGTGGAGGGGAGAGGAGGTGGTTAATTATTGTGTCCCGGCGGTTGGGCGGAAACGAATTGACGCGGGAATTGTTTATGTTACGATTACGTTTGCCTGTGGGTATAGTGTTTTTGTTGTGTTGGCATGCTTTGATGTCTGATGCTGAGATTTTTGTGCTGCAAGTTGCATAACAGAATCATTGGACCCAAGGAATAGAGAATGTTTACCTCATGCTTTGAGTTTAAATTACAAATTTCCAAAAAAATCAATACAACTATCCTATAGAAGATAGGAAATTTAGATTGTGCCATCCCTAAACTTGGGTATTCTATTGCCTCATCTAGGGTTTATATTTGATGATGTATTATATATGAACAGGGCCGGTTCTGAGATTTTAGGGGCCCTGTGCGAAAAGTAAACACATTTTCATTCTCATACTCATTCAAGCCCAAATCATTAATATTATCATTTTTAATTGAATTTTTAACTAAATCTTGTGTTTCTCTAACAATAAATTTATCAAGCGATCCACTTGAGTTTGGATAAATTGTTCAATTTTTCTTTTTTTTTTTTTACATTTATCATATCCAGAAGGATATTTTCTTGGAGGCATTTCTATAATAAAGTATTACTGATTACAATCAAATTGAAAGAAGTCAAGATTCGGAACAATACAACCTGATGAACAGCTCCGGCTGAGAATCGACCTTGCTCTTATCCGTCAAGTAATGAATCTTATCCAAAGCCTTTACAACAACAACTGAACAACAAAAATCAAACAAAAGCATCAAATGAACAGCTCCTCAAACAACAAAAACCCTAAGTAATCCCAAAAAAATAGACCCAAATCTTACATCTTAATCTGAGATTCTGATTCCGAGGAATTGCTGGAGACTGGAGTTGACTATGGAGCCTGGCGAGCTCGACAGCGGCCAGCGGGGGCAGCGACGGCGAGCTCGGAGCTCCGATTCGAGCTCAGCGGGGGCGGCTACGGCGAATCCCGAGGTCTGCAGAATTTCGGGGCCCTCGGCGGTAGCAGATCATTCCCGAAGTCTGAATGAGTCTGAAGCGGACCAGCGGGGGCGGCGACGGCGATCTCGGTGCTCCGATTCGGAGCTCAGCGAGGACGGCGACGGCGATTCCGAAGGAGACCTCGGGCGCGTCAGTGGTGGAGACTCAGCGGGGGCGGCGACGCGATTGCGACGGCGACGCTGACTGGCGACTGCGGTGCGAGCAGCGAAGGAACTGGGTTTGGGGGAGAGAGCTCAGAGCAGAGAGGGGGATGAGAGGTGGCGACCAGACATTGATTTGTGAAGATTGGTTGTTTTTTGAAGGAGGGGTTTTGATTATGGACGGGGGTTTTGTGAAATGTAGGGTCCATATTTGCTCTCTCTTCTCTCTATATATATATATATATATATATATATATATAAATAAATAAATTAAAAAAAAATTGGGCCCCCAAAATCCGGGGGCCCTGTGCGGGCGAACAGGCTGCACTCCTCCTACATATGTGTGTATATGTGTGTGTGTATACATACTTGAATACAAAAAACATCGAGCTTGGAGTAACATTTATAAACTCATACTGACGATTTTTTTATTTTTCTAAATTTTTGAATAATTACATCATTGCTTATATTGCGAATATCAGCTTCAATATATGTCGGTATGCACACATTCATCCACTGAGCTTTCATGCGGTTATACAGTTCAATTTTCACGATATTCATAGAATCATAGCTGACCTCTCTTAGGGGGGGGTTAGTCACCTAGAACTTTTAAGTAGAGCTGGGATAATTGGTAAAGTGGAATAATTTTTTAACACTGGGATAATTTAGTGGAACAATGATGGGTAATTCTTAAAGTGGGATAATTTAGTAGGATAATTTGGTGGGATAATGATGGATAATATTATGAAGTTGCATAATTTGGTAGGATAATTTGGTGGGGGTAATGGTGGGTATAAATTACTATTGTTAATAATTGTATATTAAAAATAATATAATATTGATAAGAAAATTCTAGTAATAACTATAAAATATAATACAATAAAACATCACTATTCATCGACGAAACAAAAAACGTCGGCAAAAGTTTAAAAAACGTCGGGAAAAGTTTAAAAAACGTCGGCAAAAGTTTAAAAAACGTCGGGAAAAATCTTTCCCGACGCAAAATGCAGCGTCGCTAACGCGTCGCCAAAAGTGCGTCAAGGAAAGTATTTGGCGACGTAAATACACTGCGTCGCCAAAAGTACACTTTTGGTGAGGCGTCATGCGTCGGGAAAAATATATCTTTTAGCGACGCATAATATTTTGCGTCGGCAAAAGTGTACTTTTGGCGACGTATGCAGCGTCGGCAAAAGCTATGCGTCGGCAAAAGTATAGCTTTTAGCGACGCTATCTTGCGTCACCAAAAGTATAGCTTTTAGCGACGCTTCACTCTGCGTCGCTAAAAACTATATTTTTACCGACGCAAGATAGCGTCGCTAAAAGCTATACTTTTGCCGACGCAAGATAGCGTCGGCAAAAATACAGCTTTTAGCGACGCAGAGTGAATCATCGCTAAAAGCTATACTTTTGGGGACGCAAGCTAACGTCGCTAAAAGTTATACTTTTGCCGACGCAAGATAGCGTCGGTAAAAGTATAATTTTTGACAACGGTAAAAGCATAGTTTTGTTGACACTAATTTGCATCGCCAAAAGTAATATCTTTTCTGTCAACTACAAGCCTACACTGAACCTGAACATCCACAAAAAATTTACTCCCATTCACACCAACAAAGAAACCAAACATCAAATTATACTCCAAACAAGTTGCATATTATGATAAATTAACAAAGAATTTGCTCTCATTGCAAAATAATTACATTCATTTCCATTTCCAAGTCAACACTCAAATGCCTGTTTAAATATTCCAGTTTGCCATATTCAGTGTTTTCCATTTCAGAGAATGACACATTATAAGATTTCTGTTTAAATATTCCAGTTTGCCATATTCAGTGTTTTCCATTTCAGAGAATGACACATTATAAGATTTATAGGAAACTAAACTAAGTTGAAAAAAGTTCAGTGTTTTCCATTTCAGAGAATGACACATTATAAGATTTATAGGAAACTAAACTAAGTTGAAAAAAGAAAACTTGAAGTGAAAGAACGGCACGATCAGTGAACCTCTTCACGGATGAAGGTATATTCTCTGGTAGAGTTTTTGCGATTCTGTCTAACTCCTGCATTTGTTGCTTTGCAGTCACTCTATCAGGGCCACAATACATATTCATAAGCTCTTTCATGTGTGGTAACCTTTCCATCAGTTCTTTGATTATTTCCTGTTAGAGATGTTAGAGATGTTAGAGATATTAGTTCTTTGATTAAACAGTCTTCTATACAGTTTAAAACAGAAGCAAGATTTTCAAGCAAAATCATAGTAAAGATCATGCAGACAGAGACTAGAGGCATTTGAAAATTACGCAAAAAGGAAATTACAAACACCCTAACTCATCCATCTGCAACTAGTATTTTCTTCTTCAACATTCGTTCTTTATTATCAGCATTATAATAGTTCAATCAATTGCTTTCTTTTTTTTTACTCCCTGCAACATAGCATTATAAAATCAATTTTTTGTCGTTGAAGACTCAGATTTCATGTATTAGTTTCTATTTACTTATATCAGTAGGTATTAGTCGCTATTATCTCATAATTGGACATTCATACCAATGTTTTAATTGCTTGGTGTCTGGACATTCATACCAATGTATTAGTTATATTATTTTTGCTTTAAACTAATTGCAGAATTCTAATATGTACTAAAAAAGAAAATAGCATATAAAGAGATGAGCAACACTTACCGAGAGAATCTTGAAGTAGCTGAGTGAGTTTGCTATTTCTATAAGGAACGTGAGAATTCTTTTGGGCTACAGCAGTTATTACATCCCCTAAAGCAGAAAGTGACTTGTTTATATGTTGTGCTTCTTTAAGCCTTTCTCCTGTGACTTCTGATTTATCAACTCTTTCACTTCCGGCAAGATCAAAACAAGGTGCATGCATCCGCGGAGTATAGCTCCAGATGTCAAGTCTTTTCCTTCAACATGAACAGTCAGGCAACTGCAAATATAAAGCATCAAACATCATATAAGTAACCTCATTAATCAATAATAAGGCTAAATTTAAAAAAGAAGTTAGTACTAAAACTGGGTAAATAACCTGACGTCTTATCATTTAAATGTTGGGAAGTTCACCTCTAAGATCTTGCACTTGATTGTACAGCTTTCTGTTCTCCATTAGAACTTTGCTATAGTTTGAAGCAGCATGAGCAAGGCTATACAGATGCTGGCCTATTATGGAAAAAGTGTAGAATGAATTGTACTTGTTTATTATAAGTTTATATAAAAACACACACCTAATATTCTACTTAATTAAGCTTACCAAGATTGCTGAATTCTTCATAGTACTTCATTTGCATGAACTCCATGCCAGCTCTAGTAGTTCGAAGAGAATGTTTCAGTACCTGTAAGAAAATACATACTTTTTAAAAAGATTAAGTGATAATAGGTGATAAACTTTCATATTTCGAAACAGATACTGCCACGTAATGGAGTATTAAAAAATGAGGAAGGTCAGACATAACAACATAACTTCAATTAGTATGATAGGTGCAATCAGTCAAGGTTCTCTTTATTGTAGGAAGTTATAGGCATAACCTGTTCTAGGTCTGATGCTTCAAATACAGGAAGACCCAGATCTTGCCCCGCAACAAGGTAGTTCCTGACATTCTCAAAATACTGATATGCTGATAAGGCTGCTCCATCAGGAAGAATTACTGAATCTCCAGGATTTACAACAACCTAATCAAAGAGAAAGGTAACTTGGAACATTCTAAATTTATTTTCACCCAAAACATGACGCAATGAGTACAATTCAAATAAAAAAATATTAGAAAGCTGAGTATGCTAACCTTAGGCACTGCACCCGGGTGAACCTTGTTTAGTGCGTTACAAAGCATCAAGCCATTCCTCAATCCAAGTCTGAACTCTTCCTCTGAAGGTGCATCGGGCAAGTCCTTTGCAGCAACCACGCCAACAGTTTTTCTCAACCATTCGCAATTAGGCATTAGTATTGGGGGTCTATCCTCAATTACTCCTATGTTCCTCCATAGCTATGTCGTACGGAGGGGTCATGCAGTGCCAAATGTTTATGAAAAGCAATCAGTCAAATGTTCTGAACATAATTCCACCAAGGCTGAATTCTTGAAAATTATACACTGACTTCAAAATAAGGAGTGCCAGAAAATGAAGTTTCATCTAAGAAAACAAAGTGTTTTGACACAATCCTTGGAAAAAAACGGAAACGAACAATTCAATAAGATAAACTTTATGATTCTCCAGATATATCAAATATATTTCCTGGTATTGACAAATAAGGAATGCGGTACAAATTTTTACCTGGGAGAAGATGAGTGCACAAAGCGGCAAAGTGCTTTTCCTACCTCTTCCTGTACCTGATAAAAAATTTAATATTGTCTCAGGAAATTTGTAGGAAAAAATTTGAAAATTTTCAACTTTTAACTTCAATATCCATCCATGTGTTCAAGAAAATTAAATTTTGGGTAAGATTTCCAGGCCTGAGGAATCACATATTTCAACATGGAAAATTTTGTTTTAAAACAGAGGAATTTTCTCTGGTTCATTCCTAGTGCTTTTTTATCATGAATGGCATAAATCGAAGTATCCTCTTTCCAAAGTTTTGATTCCTTTGAAAATGAGCCTACATTAGAATACAAACTAAATAAAACCACACAAAAGGAACATTTTGGAGATGAGCTACACTAGAATTCAACCTCACTACTATAATACAAAATAATTAGCTAAATATTTTTGTATGTAAAAATTTGAGTTTGACACTTGAGAAAACAAAAAAATAGAAAAGATTTGATCTTTACCACTCTACGGAGAAAAGGTTCGAGCTTTGACAAATGCTTTTGCATGCACTACACTCCCATTACTTCTCTCATTGCCCTGCAACAAAACAACCTACTTAAAATTAAGTAGAAAGAAGAAGAAAAAGCAAAAAAAAATTAGTGTTTTTTTCTTAACTCGTTCTATCTAAAATCATTCTTAACCCACAATATACATTCTGAATTACTTTTAAAACCAATTTCTATATTTCATCAATTTCTTGTATGGTGTTTTTCAAGGAGTACAGCAAATCAACATACTTCAGAATTTAAACCTAATAATTGAAAAATCTCAGAACTGGGGTTTCGATCAAAGAGTACCTTATCGCCGGCGAAATTAGGGGTTACTAACGACGTAAGGGGGGAGTTGGACGGCGGCGTGGTGGCGAAGAGGAGAGAGGCGGAGGGTTGAGGCTGAGGTGGTAGCGGCGGAGAGGAGGGAGGAGGAGCGGCGGTGGGTGGTGATGAGGCTGGAGGCGGCGACGGCGGCGTGGGGAGGCGGCGCTGGGGGTTCGGGGGCCGTCACTGAGGTGGGAGGGCGGCGGCGAATGGAAGAGGGAGAAGCGGAGAGATCGGAGGATTTGAGAGAGATGGGGTTTTGAGATAGGGATTTGAGCGGCGAACCAAATAAATTGCGTGAAATGGAAATTTTTTGGATCTTTGCCGACGCTAACTCGCGTCGCCATTATAATTTTTAGCGAAGAACAGTTTTGCGTCGCTAAAAACTATATTTTTAGCGACGTTACAGTTTTGAGTCGCTAAAGCCTATACTTTTACCGACGCTATATAGTGTCGGTAAAAGTATAGCTTTTAGGGACGCAAAACTGTTCGTCGCTAAAAGACACACATTTGCCGACACTAACATGCGTCGTCAAAGGTATATGTTTTTGCGACGAAAATTTTTTGCGTCGCTAAAAGCAATATTTTTGCCGACGAAAATGAAAAAACGTCGGGAAATCCATACATTTTTACCGACGCTAAGTTAAAACGTCGCTAATAATATACACTTTTAGCGACGCTAATTATAAACGTCGGGAAAAATATATGTTTTGCCGACGCTAACTAAAATCGTCGGGAAAAACATAATTTTTGGCGACGTATTTAACCATGCGTCGGGAATAAACGTTGGGAAAAGTGCAATTTGTTGTAGTGATCTCAAATAATAAAATAATTTACAAAATAAATAAAAATCTAAATCCCTAGAGTGACTCGACTTCCATCATCCTACATGGCTTCTATCATCCCACATGTCATCTGCCATAGAATTTCTCCAAGCTCCTACAGCTGCTCGTTGAGCCTGTAACTTGTCTTCTTTGTCAAAGTCATCGTCTGCATCAGCAACATTTCGTGGATCTTCTAGTGGAGGATCATAAATGTCGAAGTTTAAATCTCATAACATCATAAAGAAAGAAAAATAAGCATTTTTTTAGCCATTAACCATTTGGACCCATCTCATCATGATCGCTGAAACCAAATCAGAAAATAAATGAAATGTACACATGAATCATCCATGGCCGCTAAACAGATGATCGACAGATGAACTATAAATTTCCCAATCAATTTACTGAGCTGATTTAATAATAATAGATATCACCATTAACCATTCAACATCTAATCATCAATGTGATCGCAAAGTTGCTTTCTAACTAATAAAAAAACATAAATAGCCCGCATATCTTTAGCACTAACTCACCAACACTATATTCTTAACCTTAACCACTGTTGTGGAGAGAAAACTTAGATCAAACAAATAATAATAAAGTAATTTAACGTCAAAAATCTATCAATAAAGTAATACATCTTGAAGATAATAATAAAAGATCTAATCATCACAAGAACAAAGTAAAGACAGAAAAATGAACAGATGATTGACTTCATGGCAGAGAAATTTTCTAGGCGGGGAAACTAACCAAGAGGGAGGGAGGCGACGTTTCACTTTTTTTCCCAATTGTATTCTTTCCAATGTGTGGGATAATTTAAGAGAGGAGAACTTATGGTTATATATATAGGTAGTATAATTTGTTGGATAATTATGACAAATTATCCCAATTCTAATTCTAGTAGAATTCTACTTGACTAACGCACCAAAAAAATAATACAGTTCTAGTTCTACAAAAGTTCTACTTGACTAACACTATAAAAAAATATCCCATTTCCTAGTTCTATGTGACTAACACCTTAAAAATTTATCCCACAAATTATCCCAGTTCCAGTTTTAAGTTCTAGAGGACTAACCCCCCCTTAACACTTGGAATTCTAACAAGTAAAATCAACCTTAAATTTACAAACTTGTAAAAAAAGGAAGATCGTATCTTTCTTCATCTTCATCCTCTTTTTTACAAGATTAGCTTGAAATTTCATTCAATAAAGTGCATAAATTCACTTTTGAAACATACATTATAGACGAATGTGTAACATCCGATGTTCCGTTGTCTTTTAGAATTTTTGTTAAAAATTAAATAAATTAATTTTAATTAATTTAAAACTTGTCATAAATAATTCATAAAAATATGACCTATTAATTATATAGTCCTTTTTGGTGTTTTATGCAAATAGTTTTAGCAGTTTGAGTTGGAAGCGGATAAACTCGAAAGAAATTTCATGCTCTTTCAACTTGAGTTCATGCCATTAGAACTACTTATAGAGGACTCATATAAATTTAATGTAATCTTTTTGAGCTCCTAAATATTTGTTATAAATTATTGAATTAAATTCAATAATCCATTCTATAGTTTTATTTTAAGCTAGATTTTATTTTATAATCAAAATATTAGCTTACTCTAAATGTATATGTGCGATACAATTACAGTTGCACGTGCGAGTTTGTCCAATCTTGAGCCAAGCCGTGTGAGCTTCTGTTCAACCACCCAAATCCGCTTAGGGGCTGTTTGGTTCGCTTTAAAACCCTGTAGAAATCTTTTTCTTCGCCTCCATGTCGATTTTTCACCTCCACTTCTGATTTTTCATTTCTGCGGATTTTCCCCACTTTGTTTCGCTAGGGCTGAAGAGGGAAACCCCATCACAAATCGCTGCCAACTAGGTTTTTTCCCTCTCCCTCATTTCCTTCCCCTACCGAGTGAAAGCGACGAAAACCCTAGCCACGTTAGATTTTTTTCTTCCTCGTTGATTTATTTGATGAGCTAGAGTTGCCTCCTTGCTCTCCTCCCGCCAGAAACTCCCGCAGCCTTCTAAAACCATGTATTCGAAGAAATTAGGGGAGGGGGGGTTTGATCTTTGCCGACGCTGTTCAGATCTGAAATTCCTTGATAACCCGTCCTCGATCTCATATTCTGTAGTGGGATTGCTTTGAAAAATTCAGATCTGAGCTTTGTTCATGCTGTTGTTTTCAAAATCAAGGTAAAAATTGTTTTTTAATTTTCAAATTATTAGTTTAATTTTTTGATAATTATATAGTATGAAGAATTTCTGGTCACTAGTGGTAATTTTTTTGAGTAATTTGTTTGGCTGGTGGTGTTTCCTGGTTCATATTTCATGGTTGGCTCTTTGCCAAAATGTGCATACCCCCTAATGAAAGATGGGGGATTTCTATTTTGTTGGTGTTCCTGAAACCTGGTTGTGTTCAGGTTCTGTTCCCCTAATGAAAGATGGGGGATTTCTATTTTGTTGGTGTTCCTGAAACCTGGTTGTGTTCAGGTTCTGTTTTGGTTCATGTTTGGTGAGATTGTTGGGCAGACTGTTTGGGGAATTTTTGTTACCAAACCCTCTTTGCATACCCCTAAATGCTAATTCAGTTTTGTGTAGGCGTGGTTGTTACATAGTTTTAGTTTTGTGTAGGCGTGCACTTTTGCTTTCACTTTCAGATTTGTGCTCATGGGTTGTTGTTCCTGAATGTTGGTATTTGTTTTGTGGGGTTCAGTCTTGGGCTCAGGTTTGTGAGAGAGGTTGTGTACAGGAACTTGATCAGTTTGTTACCTACTTGGTTTTGTATAGCTTGGTTGTGTTCAGGTTTGTTCTCGGCCTGTTTTTTTTGCATATGTGAGATGTTTTTTGAGCCTGGTTGTGTTCAGTTTGTTACCAGGTCGGTTTTGTGTAGCTTGCTTGTGTTCTTTTGTGTTCTCGGCTAGTTTTTTTTGCATATGTGAGATGTTTTGTGAGCCTGGTTTTGTTCAGTTTGTGACCAGTCGCTTGGAGTTCTAATGTGTTCAATTTAGGCTATGATGAGTGTTAATTTTTTTGAGATTAGCAACCTGAAATATCTATTGATATTGCACTCGATGGCTAACAATGATGATATTGAACAAGTTCTAAGTTTATAGGCATAATTCACATATACGTGTGGCTGATTTATTTGACATGATGTCAAGAATTATTTTCCTTTGCATGGTTTTTTACACATATAGTTCATCAACATGCATAAGTTATCAGATTTGATGTGATTTGCTATGTTATATACATATTTATGGCTATTCAGGTTGTTTATATGTTTTTATAGATTTCAGAAGATTTTTTGGCTAATTCAGGTATGTACTACAAAAATTTATGAATAATCAGGTTATTACATGTCTCATTTATTTTTTTCTTAGAAAATAGGTTTCGTGTGATTTTTTCAATCTCAAATAAGTATATTTTAAGTCAAATCAGGTCAGTTCATGGCAATTGATTCATTCCATTTCAGGTTTCGTATGATTTCATTAATACAAACAGAAATTTATAAATCATTCGAGATAGCGATATTTGTTCATGTTACATTCGTAATTTTATATGATTAAGATTACCTTATATAACAAGCACAAATAAATTTGTATATG